CGAACCGGCCATTCGACTCGATTGAATGAGCAGCTTTGCAGTTGAAGCTTCTCTTTTAATGACCTTTGGGCATTGAAATCTAAGCTCAACCATACTCTTGTACATACATGTATTGTTAAATAAAATACTAGCTACAAGCATAATCAATACTTTAAGTATTTACGGAGCATACCACGCGTAATTGCAATAACAACCAACTAATTGCAATTTTAACAAAATGATCTCAGTACGGTTAAGTGCCTCGCTAAAATTGGAGAAAGGCAAGGTTACTTTGTTTATAGGCTTTTTCAATCATCTCTTCAGCTGAGCAATTTCATGGTATCATTTAGTGGCACGATTATAAACTATTTCAGTTGCACCTGCAACCTTCAATTTAAATACTCGAACGATACCATTCAGTACGAAATAAAACAACAGGAAAGTAACAATGTGTTGGAAATAATCCATATTTAAAGCAATAATAACAAACAAGAAATAACTAGGATTGCTAAAAATAACCAAAAATAAAATTATACTGAAGCTCCTCCTTCGATTGTTTATAGAGAAACTGTTTCTCTATAGCAGAAAGCTTGGCAAGCAAAGAACCTATTCTCTGAAGCCGAGTAATTTTCATTATAAAAATTAGGATTATTAAAAATTACTATAAATAAATACTTACAATCTAATTATTTTTTAACATACATAATATATTGTTGTCTCAGTTCTTTTTCTTTACTCGATACATTTCTTGCAACAATTCGCGAGTCTGAGTATCGATACACGTACTTGTATATTGATGTCCTTGATGGTGGGGCTATAAAGTTCTAGTTTTTGGGGTAAATTTTAACAGGAGTATATAAATTTACAATCTGCTCCTTTTTTTATTATTATTTGTTGTTGTTGATGTATTTTTCAGTTTTTTTTTCTTTACTCGATACATTTCTTGCATTAATTCTGAGTTTCGATAAACAAGGTCTACTTTTTGGGTTAAATTTTGACAGAAATATATAAATTTACAAAGAAAGGCGAAACACTTGACGCAATTGAAGGAAATTACTACAAAAATATAATAACCCAATAATCGTTTAATAAACATTTTTGCCAATAACAACTTTAATAAAACCGATGCGAATTCTTATTGTACCTTTCGATAATCAGCTGCTGCGCAATATTAATGTGCTTTTATCAATCAATATCTCAAACGCTGCGTTTTAACAATAGCTCCAATACGAAATGCTTAATAAATTCCCATTAGAGTCGCTGTTAAGATACAATAAATTAAACGTGAAATCATCGAATGATATACATACACGTATATAAAATAAATCTAAGCACATAAATAAGTGCCACTGCAAACTACAAAATATCTAAGTAAATAAATATATACAAGTACGAATATACATATGTTGGGTGTGTTTGTTTAGTGAGGCAGAAAGCCTGGCACGTTCCGGGCTGAGTCAGCAGCAAGCGATCCGAAATCGAATGCTTCTATTGAACATTCTATCACAGTCTAGTAACGTCATTTCCTTTTTGATTAGAAGTTCATAATTGTATATTTTTAGCTTTGTCATAAGCAGCAAAACAATTTAATGAAACAATCGTTTCGTTTGTTCAACATACGTATCTTGTTTTGTCTCTCTTTATCGATGACACACCTATATAAGTAGCTTGTGTCCGAAACTTAAAACCCAATTAGAGTCTGATAGGTGTATGGTCTTAGAACTTTTCCACACACTTATTATTATATAAGAGTTGAAAATTGCTCACAATTAAGTGCTGGATTTTCGATGCCTTAGCGCATATTATTAACTAATTACGTTTTATTAATTTCATACTATGCCTAATGAAATTTAATAGTTGTTATAATTATTTATCGCATGGGGAAGAGAGAAAAGCTTTGGGCGCCGTCAAGCAATTTTTTGTTGTTGGTTACGCGTCGACTCGTCACGCTTAATTGTTCAGATTTCGGCAAAAGTAATTAAAATTTGATAGGGCGAGAGCATTTATTTAAATGTGCCGCTAAACTGGAAACCCCTTCAGACCACTTTTCTCCTGTCATGGACGATTAATCTTCGAATCTTTAAAGCCCACTCTGCGCAATTTCGATTTCGTTGCCTTTAAATTTGTTATTCGCTCTTCAATTTGATTATTGTTTGCCTATGAATATTAATTCTTCACAAGCTTTAGATTATTATCGAACAATTGAAATATCGATCGAGTCTCGCAGCGTCTTAACTTCTTTTTCTTATTCTTAACTGCTACCATTTCGTATTGGCCGCCGCCTTTAGCGGCCAGCAATTAAAGAACACGATTCTAGCCCTGGCTTCAGCTCATTTAGCAAAATGTTTTAACAATTTCTGTGTGTGCTTACGTTTGGTATTTGATTTTCTTGATTTTTTTTCGCCACAATATTTCACAATTACTACCTGCTGTGTTTCTGTCTGGCCACATTTAATTGTGTAATTTTTTTTGGTTTGGCCCCCGATGGTAGTGTGAAAGGTTAGAAAGGTTATGGATATGCGTTGAGTAACGAGCGTTCAGTATTCGGCCATTTAGTATTGGCCGGCCAACTTTCTGGCTATATAGATATGGCATTTAAAATAACAAGAAATCTACTGAAAAATTGCGAGAATAACAAAGTTAGGAAGCTGGATAAATATCGTAAACTTATTTTGACTCAGAAACTGTGAGCAAATCTAATAAATCTAAATACATTCGTTCGTGCTAACGATAGCTGCTTTTCAATGTTTTTGCAGGCAGTTTGTCTTTCGATTACATTTATTTTCAAGCTAAATCAAATATGTGGTTCGATATATTTAATTCAGTTGGGAGACTAAAATTCTGTTTCCTTAATAAAGTTTTTATTATATTCACGAAACTTCTTTTTAAATTATTCATTTAATCTAGGAAACGTTTCTGTGTGGCCTAAAAGAGGAAATGGCATAAATATCGAATTTATTTGTACTCAATACTGCAAATAATTAACTTTTTACAAAAATTTTCGGTTTTAAATAAAAATAAAATATTGAAAATATTTGCATCAATTCAGCAATTCAGGAATCATCATCAAAAGAAGCTCAAACAAAGCAACTCTTTAAACACAAAATATATTTTTATAGAATATATTTAAAATATTTAGTAAATCTATGGGGCTAGTCTTGTTAATAGATAAGTCCATAGAACTATGGCTGTGATGTCATTTCCCCCCATATACATAAATTCTTTTCATTTTAATTTCCAATGTCTGGCTGACCTTTTTCCGCAAAACTCTATTCCCGGCATGTGGTTAGTTGAACTCATTAGCCCAATTGGAATGGGTTAAACAGTTGGATTTACCAATTATGTTCTGCTCGGCAATATCATTACTTTATTACTTCAATACTTGAGCTGAAATGCAATTTCTTTAACCTTCTTTCTTTCATTAAACAATTCTGTTTTCGGCAACGTTTACATTTGCTTAGGTTCATTAACATTTTGCTTAACGATTTTGGTCGCTGAAAGAAATCGCAAAATGTGTGTAAGCAAAAAACATAAAAATAGAGAATATAAATAAATATAAAATGAAACGCATGGCGATTTTCATTTAAATAAAATTTAATCACGTCTGCCTTTCTTATACGGCTTGTTTATGTTTTTAACATGTTTAATTAAAAATGCAAATCGTACAAGTAAAATTGATGTGGGCGTGTTTTCTCAGCCAAAACGTTGTGATGAATTCCATTTAAATTTATGGCCAAGACAAAACAAAGCATCTGTAAGCGCTGACTTCAGCTTGTTAGCCTTGCTATAAGTGCATTGCAAATAAATGCATAATATAAATAATTAATTTAGCACTAATTTATTAAGAGGTTATAGAAATCGCACATCACATCGCCCCCAACTTATGCAAAATTTGTCACCAATAGCCCGGGGGGGTCGCCGTTTGTTTTTTGTTTTTACTTTCGGCCCTTTTGTCTTAAGCTGAATTTTCTATTCTGCTTTGTCAGCTTTCGCTTTTATTTAAACTCTTTTTTATTTGTTGCTGTCTATAATTTATTTATTTTGCATTTGTCCCTGTCATTATTATTAGAAACGTTTGTCAACGCTTCGCGGCTAAGACAAAAGCCTCAGCCAAATTTTTCGCTATTGCGGTTTTTTTCCCCCTAAATTGTCTTATAAGCTTTGTCACTTTTTTCTGTTGTTGCGGCTTAATGACATCTATTTTTGGGCGAAAGTTTTGCAGACCCACATATAATTACATGTTTGTTGTAAGAGAGCAAAAAGTGCGTTCCCTCGACTAATAAGCCAACAATTGGCAGACACTTAAATATGGTTGGAAATGATGGCTTTGAAAACTTTTCCTTTCTTTCTTTTCATTTTTCTTGTTGAATCTTAACAGACTTTTACACAAATTCGTATTATTTGTAAAAGTGGATGCTAACATTAAAACCCAACCCAATCCATACTGATATAACACTGATCCTAATTGGAAATCACACTATTCTTCAAATATGATCCCTTGCCTCTTTAATCAAAATATCAGTCACAAAAATAACATACTTGTATGAGACATTTTCTGTTCTGCATCATTTCGAAATTTGATCATCAAATGTTCTTTTTTATTTATTTTTTACAAGTAAGGGCAACTTGTTATGTAATCGATTGATTTATTATCGAAAAAGAGAATCACTCTAGTCCAGGTGGCAACGCCACAGCACCTGCCAACTTGAAGAGGTAACAGTCTCCATCTTTAGCCTACGATCGACTAAAATAAACTAACAAGTGCCACATTGTGCAGATAAATAAGATTAAATATGTACTTAATATATAAAAACTATCTAAAGATCATTGGCTGTTATTTATTGAAAGTAAAAAAGCTAAACTTAAAACAATTGGGAACCCGAATTAGGACCTAGCTTTTATGTTTATAAACATTTCCCTTCTCCCAAAATGTGCTCTATTCCACCTGATTATTGTTACCATTTGTTTGCCCTTAAATGTTCTAACCGTCTGTTACAAACTATTCCTTCAACCTATTACAGATCTTGGCACCCTAAACAATAACAACAACACAACTACAACAACAACAACCAACACAATTATAAACAACAACATCAACATAAAAACCAGCACAACACCTGGCAGCACTCCCACAGGAACCGCAGCGTCAAAGACGACAACCACAACAAAAGGACAAACAACAAACAGCAACAATTCCAGTAAACACAAAATGGAGCTGTTGCCACCACTGGCGAATAACACGAGCACCACAATCACAAAAACAACAGCAGGAGCGACAAGCATAAAACAGTTGTTAGTCCACGATTATCTGAGCTACGCCTCGCCACCCACCTATTCGCGTCTGCCTCCCGATGGCCACGAGTTTCCACCAAACTTCAGCGAGCCACTGATAATGCCGCCCTCGACGCTGCTGAAAGCGGCTGCGGCTAACAAAGCATCGCCAGCCACCGTTACAGAGCTCAGCTTTGAGGCAACGCCACACAACAGCAACAACAACAACAACAATAGCAACAGCAAATTAGAGGCAGCACCACCGCTGCCAAAGACGGGACCACCGCCGACAGTGCCGCGCAAATTATATCGCCAGGACTTGATCGTTAATGTGGAGGATGCGCGAGCATCGCGTTCCCTGTCAACGAGCCACGGCCTTAGCACGCTCCCTAGCGGCAGCACACTTAGTACGCCACCTGGCGGCAGCACCACACGCGACTATCAACGTTCCTTGAGCGCACCGCGCAAGTCTAGTGATTGGCGCAAGGACGAAAAATCGGAGAAATCGGTACGCGATAAAATTGCCATGTTCTCCAATGAGAATGACGCACCGGCGCCCACACCCTCGGCCAGTGCCACGCCCACATTTACCGTAACACGTAAGCCGCTGAACATGAGCAGCGAAAATTTGCTGGACTCGAGCAGCTCCAGTTTGGCGACGCCGCCACTGAAGACTCGCGCCATGAGCGTAGAGAATCTAAATGATGTGCAGCGTCAATATCAGTTGGCCAAACAGCTGCCCCAACTGCAACACCACGCCGACTCGATGTACTCCCTAAATACGCTGCATACGCCCTCGTATGCCTCTTTACCGCGTCGGCATGGCAGCGTTGCCTCACTGGCCTCCGCTCAATTGGAGCGGCGTATTAGCTTCTCGGGCGAGGGTGAGGCCAATCGAAAGGCAGCGATCACTAATATATTGGAGCAGCGCCGACGTAGCCTCTCGAAATTGCGCGGCCTAGTCATTCCGGAGCGGCCGCATTTGCTGGAACCCATTCTGGATTTGCCGGAGATCAAGAGTCAAGTGAAGGCAGCCAGTGGTGAGGATTCAACGGATAGTGGTTTGGGCGAGACACGCGCCCGGCCACCACCAACTACACCAACCACAACGCCAATCACAACGAGTAGCTATCGCAGTCTTTATAATGGAACCTCCAACGGATTGGGAATTATTGGTGGACAGCGTCGCCAATTGGAGCCGCAGCTATCACAGCCACCAGCAAAGCCGCCACGCACTTCTCTCGTGACACCGACACGTGCCCCACCTCTGCCGAGCTCGCATCTGGATCAGGAGAGCGATACGGATTCGGTGTTCTCCAGCACAGCACGCGTGGCCTCGCCCCCCGAGAAATTCGCACTAACGCGCACCCTAAGCTCCGAGACAAACACCTCCATAGCCAGCTCGAACACCTCGACTCTGACCTCTGGTTCGGCGGGCTCACAGGCCAGCTGCAGTTCGTTGGGCAGCACGCCCACCGTTGATCTGACTAGACGCGTCTTAAAGACAAACACGACCATGTCCTCGTCAGCCAATAGCGAAGCAACATCAGGTAGCTCCAACCGGAAAAGCATACTCGCTTCGGCGAAATGTCGCAGCGCCAAATGTCCCTATGTCTTGGATGTGGAGGCCGAGGAGGATGATAGCACTGACGGAGAAGCCTGTGTGGGTAGACGCCTCAAATCCAAACCGACCATGAGCGCCTACAAGGTCGCTGCTCTGCGTGGTCAGCAACAACAACAACAGCTAGCATCACAACAGCAGCTGCAAGGACAGCAGCTGATCGTGGACAAGATCATTAGTGTGGCCTATGTGGAGCAAACATCAGATACCGATGATAGCAGTCGTCGTTCCGATGCGGCAGTCACGCCTGCCAAAATCAGTGCCATCTTCATCGATGAGGAGCGCAAGGCCAGTTTCAAGGCTGACCCCACCCAGCAAGCCAAGCTCAAGCTGGTCAGTGCCAAGCCCGTGGCAGCTCCCTTGGCACAACGGGCCCTGGAGCCCACTGCGCCCGCCCCCGAACTGTCAAAATGGATACAGCAGCGATCCACAACAGCAGCAACCATCAACACATCTTCCCCAGCATCGTCATCTTCCCTCTTGCTAGAGCGTCGCAGTCTTGCCTCAAAGCAACAGCCGGCTAAGATGAATACCGCAGAGCTTCGTGAGAAATTTGAACGCAGTGCTGCTGCAGCAGCTCCTCTGCCCACCCCCCATCACAATACACACAAACCGGTGGTAATAAATGGCAAGGCCAGCACACCCCATCACGAGCGTTTCTCCTCGCTCGACTCTCTCGCCTCGAGCTCATCGGGGGTTAGCTCGACCACACAGAATGTGAGCACCTCACAGGAGACGGCCACAGAATTCGGTAGCTTCTCATCGCTGGGCAGCAATCAGAGTCTGATTACCGCCCAGGATGTCCAACAGATTGTCGAGGAGGCGGATCCGCCACTTAAAACTCCCGAAGCCTTCATTATTGTGCTTCAGCGTGATACGCCCGAGAGCAGCATTGGCATTACGTTGGCTGGTGGATCTGACTATGAGGCTAAGGAAATAACGGTAAATATAGTAAAAATATTGCCCAGACTCTCTATAATTAATTCTCCCTTTCTCTCTCTATTTTTCTCTGCCTACAGATACACAAGATCTTGAGCAACACACCAGCCGCCAAGGATGGTCGCCTGAAGAAGGGCGATCGCATCTTGGCCGTCAATGGCATGAGCATGCGGGGTCTAACCCATCGAGAATCCATCAGTTTGCTCAAGGTGAGTCGATAAATACACCGCTGAATAATTTTGATTAACTTCTTCTTCTTCTTCTTAACCAGACGCCACGTCCAGAGGTGGTGCTGGTGGTCACACGCTCCGAATCGCTGGTGCTTAAAACTCTGACCAAGAAACGCTCCTCGCTGGGTTCGCTTAGCTCGCTAAATGAGAAGCCCACGGAGTTAGACTACGAACGCAAACGCAATTACCACAAGGCTTCACGTTCCCTGGACCTGGATCTGGATATTGTGTCCAATGAGGGCGGCACTGGATCTGCGGCCACGCCCAGCACACCTAGCACCGGCTCCAGCAGTCCCCAGCAGCCGGCTAGCTTGCATGAGTCGGACGTAGATGCTGCCATAGCGGGTATACGTGCTCGTCGTCAGATGTCGCGCGGAGAGGCGGCCAAGCTGAGCACCAGCGAGCTGTTGGAGCGCGCCGCGGAAATACGCGCACAGGGTGAGTCAAGATTGGCGGCATTTTCAAAACTCTACTCTAAATTCTAACCTATCTGTTATCTAGCCGAGGACACTGTTGTTGGCGGTGGCGCACGCTGTGTGGAAATTGTGAAGGATAGTTGTGGTCTAGGTTTCTCCATCGAGGGTGGCTTCGACTCGCCGCTGGGCAACCGCCCACTAATTGTGAAGAAAGTTTTCATGGGTAAAGAATCGAAACAATTTCGTGTTGTCTATTATTTTGAGATTCTATTAATTGCTATCTTAATTTGTAGGCGGCGCTGCCCAGAAAACCGGTCAGGTGCGCAATGGCGATGAGATTCTGAGCATAAATGGTGCTTCCACGGCGCGTATGACACGCGTCGACGCCTGGAATTTTATGAAACAACTCCCGCTGGGTCCTGTCATGATTTCCTTTGCCTAAAACGCAGAATGCGCCACAATTAGTTTTAAGTTTGAAATCGAAGCGGATTCGTTTTTTTTATCCCGAGACGGGCCTTGCCAACGAGGACGACTAAGTTGCGACTTTATGTTTTGCATTTACACGACTTTATTTACATATATATACCGAGATATATATCTATATATATATACATACATATATACGCGTATAACAATATCATACATATATTTAAATAATTTAAAGTGCAATTTCTTTGATGTATTCTAAAACGAGTTTAACTTTTAATCTTTGCGGCGCTTGAGCCTAATACATAATATGTATTGCTTGATATGTACATAATATTACTAAACTAATATACATATATACATATATATATATATATATATATATATATATATATATATATATATATATATATATATATATATATATATATATATATATATATATATATATATCTATATATATATATATATATATATATATCTATATATATATATATATATACATATATATATATATATATACATATATATATATATATATACATATATATATATCGTATTACAATTTAAAACGAAACCCCTCTATTTAACAGCGGTATTTTCCTTATATGCAATTTTTTGGTATACCATCAATACGAGTATATGGACACGAATCGAACTTCGGTGTACTTTTATCATTATGCTATGCCATAAATTATACGGGAACGTTATATATTATTTTAATTACTTTTATCATAATTTTATTATTTAAACAACAACAACAACAATGTATGCAAACAAAATTATTTGCTAATATCATATGTATATCTGCAATTTATAAAATGAAACAAAAAACATAATAAAAAATATATTATCAGCGTGAAGAAATGTTCATTTTCTGCATCGATCGTAAACTAACTTTGACATTTTCATATAAAAAGATGATGTAATTCATGAATTTTTATTTATGTTTTATGTGGGTCGGAAGTAATTTCATCTTCGTGTAATTTTTCATATAGATAAGACAATAATACCGAGTTTTCTCTCCAACAACATATTCAAAATCTTTCCACGTTTCACAACCTATTCCATCGGACCTTTTCTTAATCACGGAAAAATATTTGTCCCCTATTTCTCTAGATCATAACATTTGTACTAATGTTTTAATATGTGTTCTCACGATCACTACACTTTGTATAAAAACATCGAAGCAAATATCTAAATTTTAATAATCATTTTAATAGAAAAGGAGAACTTTGGAGTTTTTTCATAGGAGGATCAACCAAAAAAATAAGTTTCAACAAAACAGTTATTTGAACTTCGAATCAAGGTATATTTATGTAGACATTACACGATCATGTAGTCTAAAAATTATAAATATGTACATTAATTAATGAATAATAGCTATAAATAATACTAAAGTATATATTTATTTTTAGACGTAAATTTAAAGGGACAGGAAAAATATATGCCAACCGAATGAAGGCATATAGTGGACTATTTTTGAAGCATACTTTGGGGAGCATCCATCAAGCTTACAAGTACTAGACTCCAATAGAAATTCGGTCAAGTTAGGTATATTAAAAAACATTTGATCACTCAAGAATATTATTGAGATTCGATGCAATTAGAAAAGGCGCTAATTGTGTAAACATTAAAAGAAGGTTTTATTTATATAATTATAGTACATTAAAACACTGTACATTAACTTGTTGGAATGTCGATGGTCTCCATTCTCAACCGATACTGTATTGAAATGCTGTGGCATTCACTCTAATCTTTGGAAGGTCTTTTACGCAAGGCTGGAAGCTGAAGATAGGAACGAGTAACCAAACCTAAATGTTGCAATGGAGGCTGAGAGGTCATGGCTATTTCTGGCGGTTTTTCATCATCATGCTGGGTAGAACTGGTCTCGCCATTTATAGATGGTTGCACGTCCTCGCTCTCCGGAAAGATCTCCCCTATGAGCTCATACACGCGGCGTTTGAAGAACAATTTTTGATGGAAACTCATGTGTCTCATTTCTGGTAGAACACCCCGTAAGAATGCCTCATCGCAATCCATCGCCAATGGTGTGGATGATGGTTCCGATCCGATCTGTATTTGGACAAATAACGCTTAGCAAAGTGTTACCAAGGCAACAGTCATAATACTTACATTATCCGCTTTGACTTCATTATCTGAGGTTCCTGGGAATTTTCGTTTCTTAGGCAGGGTCTCGACGGCGCTATTCTCGCTCTTGCTGCGTTGCGATTGGCTTGGAAGCCCTTGCACCGGCTTCCGTTCATCTTGCCCGTCTTCTGAACCCTCTTCTTCCAGATTCGAGGCCCCGGAGTAGAATGAGCTATCATCTAATTCAGGAGCATTTTCACAATTCGTGCGCCTCAAATTACGCGAATGCCGCTTTTTGGGATTATTTAACCTATGGCCAGCACCATCGTCGCCCGACGTTTGATTCGAACGCTGTGCGCGGGTGGGAATAGGAATACCGGGGGTGATATGACGGGAGAGGAACTTTAGCTCCTCGCTCAGATAATACGGTGTGATGCGGTTGTGGATGGTGAGGCGGTTCACATTGATCGACCGCGCATAACTACTCCGTATGTTGCGCCAACGCTCCTTGCACGACGGCACTATAAAAAGTAGTGAACAAAAAATAGTAGCAACTCAAAAGAAGCTGGGGGATGCTGTATCGCCGACCGGCAGTTACTTACCCGCGTCGTGCATTTCTTTTCCAATTTCCTCCCAGGCGGACTCAATCGTCGCTTTTTTCATATAATTGGGATCACTGCGATCGTACATACAAGGATATCGTTCCACCAGGCGACAGATCTTTACATTCATTTCGTAGATTTCGGGCGTCATTTGTTTGCCTCCTGCAGCAGATGCGTAGGAGTGTTTCCTACTTCCGGCTCTAGCTCTACGTCGCGAATTCATTTTGAGTTTCTAATTTTCATACGACTTGACAGCGTCTGTCACACAAATAGAAACAAAACAGTCTGTTTAATCTGACGAGAATCAAATGTGTCGCTCTCGCCCCGGCACAGGCGACAATAACTACACATTCGATAACACGAACTCACACAATAGGGTATTCTTGGTCACGTTCGCCTTGTGCTTAAGACTTCAAATGTATGTATGTACGAATTTGATACAAAATCAAAGTAAAAATGTTCAGATTAAGGAAAGTGGTATAATTAATTACTTCATGGATGCCGGCCGCTCTCTCAATTTATTTATCTCTATTATTTACATAGCAGCTGTGAACAACGCGACCGGAACTATCAGCATCGAATGCTGAACAATTAACACCAATACCATTTACGTTTATTTTGTGTGGTGCACATACAGCTGTTTGGCGCTTCTCCGTTTTTGTTGCCGCTAAGCTGTTGGCAATGCGACCGAGGCAATCAACAAGCAACAACAAGTGTTGCCATTGCGACTGCCGACGACTGGTGCTATAGTTTTTTCACTTACCTGCGTGCAATTATTAATTTCTATAAATCGCCTTTGGCCCTGCTTTTAGTTATCTTTCCTATTTTCTCTTTATTCCCGTGATGTTGCTGCTACTGCAAATTGCGGTTGTTCTCGTCGGTTGCTGCCGCTGCTTGTTTTTATTTCGTTTGCACACAAGCACACAGACATGTGTTTGATTATTTTGTGCTCTCTCTCTCTCTCTCGCTCAATTTTTACGAACAGTGTTGCTGTGCTGCAATACGACGAGTGTTGCCGTTGTACTAAAGTAACAGACTACAATGTACAATCGAAAATGCGAGGTCAAAACGACAGATGCGATGAAGTAAAAGCCAATGTTATTTATGTACATACATACATACATACACATGTATGTCTGTTGTGTTGGAATTTGTCAAATTTAAAAATTCAATAGCATTTTGGCAATTCAATTCATAGCATTTTAGAGCGCAACGTCACAATTTTTGCCTGTTATAAATTTAATAATTCGATAAAAACCATTACCAAGTCCTACTAAAAAGGCTTGCAACAATTTTAGCCAAAGTACCCTACCCAACGAAATGAAAACAAACCAACCGCAACAGTGGCGTAGTCGACAGGGCTCAGCCGGCAGAAGGTATAGTCCGCGCGAAACTCAAAGCAACCCTCTGGCAGCAACACAATTGCGCGCCAGCCACTGTACACACACACACACTCACAAGTGCTGAGAGCGCGAGCGAATGAACAGTGCTGCCAGCTGGAGTGACGGCATTTCAAGTAAAAGAATTACCAGCTAGACTACCAGAAAGCCGACTAGCAACTGGCCGACTTTCAACGTACATAGATCAGTACAACATTTGGAGCTATATTTTAAATGATATATAAGTTTGCATAAAGAAAAAAGTGAAGGCACTAATATCCAAAAGCTAACTGAAATTTGTGTTTGGAAAAAATACCCTGTTGCTTAAAAAGGAATATTTGCTTTTTTCAAGAATTAAAAACAACACGATAACAATCCTAGTTATCGATTATCGGCTGCTTCACGTGCAAACTAAATACAACCCCGCATAATTGTCTGCTGACGCACCAATACCAATGCACTAACTTGACCGCGTTCTCCCGCTAGCTGTTTGCTACATTGAGACTCTCTCGCTCTCTCTCAAGCTTGTGCGTTGGTGTATGTGTGTGTGATACTTGTTCGCAGTTCTGTTGTGTCAGTTTCGCTGCTGCGACGCGTTCTGTTTACTCTAAAGTAGGTTTTGTGTCAGAAAGTGAAATAATATAATTTTAAAAGTGTTGAATTGTGCAGCGGTTTAAAAGAAACAATGGCATCGGGCGAATCTCCGTTTAAAGCGTCAATGAAATTTAACATCGCTTTGTTGCGTGCCGTGGCTGATAAACCCATATTATATGATCGAAATAATGCAAATTATCGGAAAAGGCTACACACAGACAATTGTTGGGACGTCGTGGCCGCGGAAATCGGAGAGAGCGGTAAGTGCTGCACAATACACATTTATATTGTTATCGGCGGACACAGTTGTTTGTTGGGAATAGTATGTTGGCAAGCAGCGACCAAAGTTGACGAACGTAAAAGTATTTGATTGTTAGTGTTGACAATTGTGGGGCTTTGCAATCGACTTATCGCGTTTGCAAATTCAATTGCGTTTAATCGTTATGAAAAACATTTAGTTAATTCAATTAAATATAAATATAAAATAAAACATTAATATCAAATAAGGATTACCAACTTTTAAAGTGAAGCCTTAAATTAATCGGCAGGAATTATTTGATTAATATTGTGTGTTGGATCACTAACATCATTTCTAATAATTGCTTGCATGTGCATTTAATAAACGTTTTTTCGAAGTACTGGCATGCAGTTATTGTTTTATTATTTTGCTTATATTTTTGTGTGCATGTAATGTTTGTTTCAATTATTTTTCAACCCATTTTTTTATTTAATATATTTTTGTTTCTTTATTTCTGAAGAAACTTTTAAGATAAGTTTAAAGCTTCCATTCGAAACAAATATATTAAGCACAATTAATATTCAAAGTTATGGCAATTTGGGAAATGGTTTGGGTACAAAAAGAATAATAATTACCAAATTTAATGGTGTTCTGTTTTCAAAATAGTTGTGAAATGGAAATTGAATTTGTAATCTTATATTTACAAAGAGTTTATTAATTTGAATTTGATAATGGATGTCATTTTGTAGATTGTTTAGTATTAAAAAATTGAGATGAGGTCACATTGTGTTTACCTACATTTGAGCAAAGAGTCATTTGTGCTTGGACTTTATTAGTATACAACTTATAAAGTTGAAAAAATTGTTTGGTTAAAACACTTATTTATTGTTGCCCTCATGGAATATTAATTGTTCGTTCAAATACGTTCAAAGACCTTTTTTGGCAGGTTTGTACATATAATTTGTTCTGACAGTTTTTTATAAATCAATTAACCAGTTAATATGCCTTTGAAAGCTACATATACGATTTAGTCGTAGCCTATTAGTTTCAAACTCCACATTTCAACGCGATAGTTTTAAAAGCATTACCAATGTACTTACGTCCAAAGTGATGTTATGATCAGTCCTTTTTCAATACGTACACAGGCTAAAAGGCTATTTTGCTTTAAAAAGCATAATACCAAATAGATAATTGAAGGAATGTATATACTCTTGCTATTCTGTATTTTTAATATTTGAAATTTCTTTGCAAATTGTCTTATAAATTATACCGTTTAGCAATGTCAAATTTGACGGCCAAAACGTCCTCATTGCTGTTGGCGACTGTCAGTGGCCATATTTGATGTCCTGTTAGAATTTGTTTTGTTTTTTCTTTACGGTTATTCCAAATGACCTGTTTAGGAATAAATTTGCAGAGTTTTGACCACTTTTTTGATAGCTTCTAGAAAAATTAGTGGTACAAAGCAGTGTACCCGTTTAGATCTGCGAAATTTAATTATTAATTACCATTTGGAAGGTTTATCGCAAAAGGATATTTCCAAAAAAGTTAAAGACTTCGAACTATTCAAACTTTAAAAAAAATAACTATAAGAAAAGGTGCGAAAGAAAAACTGTCTTTCACAACCAAACGTTGGACTTTGCGGCAAATTAAAAAGAATCCCCAAACAATAGCCGTGGAAATCGCAAAAGAGTTGGCTTAGATTTCAATATTCATGTCACAGGACCAACCATAAGTAATTTCTTACATAAACAACATTTTCGTGACCGAATCCCACGTAAGAAACCGTACATCAGCAAGAAAAACAAACTTATTGTACGTCTGAATTTCGCCAAAGTACGTTCCGAGTACGTTAATATACATACGTATGTCTGTACACATTAGACAATTTGCAAAGTAATTGTAAATATTAAGCATACAGGATCGCAAAAATATAAAGATCTTTTAACTATCTATTTGCTTCTAAAAATATAAGGCAAAATAGCTTCTCGTTGCATGTGGACGTTTTAAAGTTTTAACATGTGTGTGTATGTATGTATACTTTTTACATACATATGTACATGGGCACTTGGTTGCAAAAGTGTCTATCTATACCTCAGCCGACGTTGTTAAACCCCCACCTTTTCACTGAAATATTGTAAGTACTGCGAAAAAGGGTCCACTTACAGTCAATTTTCACAGCGGTTCACAATCACAAACCCAACTTTTGTGCGCATGCACTGATCAGATGTTAAAAAACAAATACAACTAAATCCTTAAACTACTGGGGCCGTAGTTCTTACAAAGTGATGCCAATTAGTGTATTGTCACACCACTACACCACGTGACTAAATTGGCCCCATTAATCGGTTTGCGAGTTTCAGTTCTGACGCGTTGGCAGGCCTGTTTTCAAGTTGGCGCGTCGGCGTCTAAAAGCGTTTTGTGTCTTAAATTGACTTTAGAACTTAGCAAGCTTCGCCAAACTACTTTGTGTAATGTTTTGACGTTTTTGATTAGTGTGTCCAATACGCATTCCAAATTATTATTATTATTTTGATTCGTCGGCAACATCGAATTATCGAAGTAGGAGTCCGCCAAAATGTCTTACATACTTCAAATGGTTTATTGCGACTTGGTATGTATTAACATACATATGTACCTATGTATGTATGAATATGTATTCTTTGCTTTTTTGCACATACACAACTGCTTATGTACAAATATATACATACATATGTAAAGTATGACGACTGATGTTGCGGCAAAATCGGCTTGAGGCGGCTTGGCAAGGAGCGGCAATACAAAATTAAGGTTATTGGGTGCATCGTTCATGATTTCATTACATCCAATAAAGTTGCCGAAATGGTCAAAAGAAATAATAAAAAAATACACCCTCGTGCCCAAACATATACATACAAGTATATGCAAGTCTTGGTGATGGACTAGTGAAGAAAATTGTTCTCACACGATGCACGAAAGATCGATACCTACGCTATCGATACCCGTAATTGCAAGAAATATTATTTGAAAAGTAACTGGCGGAAGAGGTGTGAATCAGAACAAAAGCTGTACAAATAAGTTTGTCTACAAACAATTGTCTTCTATTCTATTCTATTCTATTCTATTCTATTCTATTGTATTCTATTCTATTCAACAGAGCTGCTTTAAATCTATATAGCGTTGCAAACTTAAACTTGTTCGAAATGCGCCTTCATTTCCTGAATTCCTAATTACTATTTATTTCCTTACAAGTGAGCTGACTTTGCAGTTTTAAAATATAAATTTTATATCAACTAAATTTAGAGTAGCTGTCAATACATACATACATATATTATTTTTGTTCGGAAATTTTATCTCTTTGATGACGTCATGAAAAATGCTATATATATATATATATATATATATATATATATATATATATATATATATATATATATATATATATATATATATATATATATATATATATATATATATCCGGTATAGTGAAGAGTATTCATTTTGTGAAATTACTTATAGTTGATTTAGGTATTATTCTCAATAATCATATAGTACAAGTATACTCGTATCAATATTAAATTGTGTTCTGTGCATGTGTTATTTCTTAGCGATTCATTTTGCATGAGTTTCTAACTCTGAGATGGCAATACTGTGACTCTGGTGTCACAGAAATAAACATATATGAGAAATGTCAATGTGTATGACTTTGCAAACGGGTTGCACATCAGGGTTTTATTTGTATTGGAAATACTTTCCTATAATGATCACCGTTGTTATATTTTTTGATTTCTAACTACTATGCGCCCTTTCTCAACAAATGCAAATATCTTCCCTGGTTACCTTTTAACATAAATATGAATTTATTCGCTTAAAAATAAAAAAATTAAATCTGACAGGCATAAGCAGCGACGGGAGTTGTTGAAACAAGTATTTCCAATGATGATCAATTTTTTGTGGAAAATCAAACTGACTTTGTGAAACTTTAACTGTCGCTTAAATATCGTAAACAATTTGGTATTGCTTTATTTTTTGCCTCGGAATTATGTACATTTTTTGTTATCTTCTGAAATAATTCTATAGTACTATAGTACAGGGTTTTGTCTTTTTTAAGGTTAGTCGTAAATCGCAGATGACGATAAAATTGAAATAAATTGCTCAAATTTTTGAAACTGTTCTCATAGCTAAGTACTGACAGTTAAACTGACGATGAATTGTATTCTGTACTTAAAACTAAAAATATCTGTGTCTAGTTTGGTTTAACTGTTCAGAACATTCTTTTGGTTGTTGTTTATTAAAGTGGTTTTATTACATATTTGAAATTTGATATTTTTTCCGAACGCACTATACATATTAAGTGAACTGATTCCTTTTCAGAAAGTTCAACTATATTTAAATATCATTGTCATTATAACGAGCTAGCTAATACCATGTACTTTTTCTAATACTCGGCATTTCATTTCTAGCTGTAAGTAGAAATAACTTACTAAATATTTCACTAACACTTAAGGATCAAATTTCCCTAAATTGCTTTTTAGCAAATCAGTTAAACATGCACACAGACATTAACCAAAACTACTAAATTAAATGTTTAATAGCAAGCGTTGTTTGGATTATAGTTGTAGTACGAAATATATATGTCCTTCTAAACTTCTTTCTAGCGTTGGGTACTAGTTAAAAATCAAGCTATATCTGCAATTTTTATAGGCCACTGAAATGTTCAAGCAACGATTTCTAACAATTTACAGATGTTATTAAGATTTTTAAACCTGCCTATTCGCCATGGGTTTTTGCGACCTCTTTACAGCGTTCTTATATATCAGTCTAGGTAGCATGGAATTTGGGTAGACAATTTGAAAGCCCCAGTATTGCTCGAATGCGGTGCACGTGTGTAACGCCATTTTTATGGCCCTCACATAGTATCTATAAGCGTTTATGAGGCCCATCTGCTAAGCCGAGTCAGGATTGTTTCTGTAAGCAGGTATCGTTCGGGGTTGATCTTTAGGCTTCAATGTCAGCCTTACCTGTACTTTCGGACCATCATTGCTTGCTATCTTCCGCTCTGACTGACTCTCTCTCCCTCTCTCTTGCCCGCCACATACAGTTGAAAAATGCAAGGGTCGCTGGCGTCAAATACGCAACGATTACTGGCGGTGGTTGATGGCCGATGCCCACAAGCGTCGATCGGGTCAGAAGCGACCGCCCTTCCATCTCGCCGACGAATTGAAGTTTCTAACGCCGCACATCTTGTCAGCCGACGGTCAAGTGACCGCCGACGACGAGCACAAGCGCGACAGCATGTCGGCCGATCGCGAGCAGGACGGCAAGAGAGCTTCGCTTCCACAGGTGAATGCGCGGGCTTTTAACAGCGAGCAGTCGCCGAGCAATAGGGCAGTCCAGCGACGTTCAACGCCGCAGCCACATCAAATGGACGAGCAGAACAACAATAAAAACAAAAAGGATAACGAACGTATCGCACAGGATCAGGAAAGCGAGCATAGAGAGGTGAACGTGCCGCGCAGTAGTGTGCAATCGGTCGATTTGGCTACTGATGACGACGAGACGGACCCCAAACCTGCATCTCAAAAGGAATCCGAACAGCAGGACGAAGGGGAGCGGGAGGCAAGCTCTGGGTCTTCATCGCCCTCGCCACGAGCCGAGTTCTTTATCAAGCAAAGTGCTAGTGGCAGCAATCCTAATAGTCTGCTCATCATTAGCAAGAAACAGTCGCGCACTCCCGATCCACTGGAGCAGCCTATGGAGGAGCCGCGTGCACGCGTAGGAAGGCCCGTCGGTCGGCCACGACGCACCGAGCGTTCCGAAATGCCCATCAAGACCGTGCCAGTGCAGCGCATGACGCGTCTTCAGCGCCGCAAGTCAATGTGCTTGGGTGTGGCGGAGAGCATGCGCAGCTCAACGTCTCCGGTAAAGATGGCCCCAGTGCCCCGACAGATCAGTCAACAGAAGCAGTCACAAAATGCCAAGGCGGCTACAAATTCTGCGTTGCGATTGCCCCATGACGATATCTTTCCCAGGCCCAATGCCAGTGTCAGCAGTGCTCCAAAAACTCTGATTTTTCCCCCAAATCGTCGCAGTTCAATATCGCCGGCAGCAAGCACAGAATTTACCTCGGCATTATCTAAGGCAAATGCAATAGTTTCTAAATTTGGTGCGACAGCAGCTAAAGGGTCGAGCCCAGCTGCAGAAGCAACAGAAACCAGCTTGTCTTCTTCCGCTACTTCTTCTCCAGCTGTCAAAGTCACTGCACCCAAACGTGTAACTATCGGTGGGACAACTATTGTAGCGGCCAAAACCCCAACCACAACCCCAACACCCACTGCCACAGTCGCAGTAGCAGCCTCAGCCGTAGCCTCCGCCACTGCCTCTCAGCAGCAGCGTCAGTCGTCGCCACAAGACATTGGCAACATAATAGAACTTATTGATCCTTTTCAGATCAACAGCAGTAGTACAGAGCAGCTTAACAGTGCCACCACCACCACCACCAGCACCAGCACTTCCACAAGCGCCACCTCCAATGACAACAATGTGGTCATCACTACAATCCCCTCTCCGATTGTGTTGCCCGTTCGGCAGGACTGCGCCACCCAATACGAGAACATGGACATCTTTAGCGATGAGCACTTTCTGGAAATCGTACGCCCACAAATGGCCGAAATGAATGCGCGCCAGAAACTAAAGTTCAAGCAGAAGATCTTACAATCACTGATGGAGACTTTCGATGATGCCACAGACTTTCCGAACGCCGGCGAGGTGCAGCACTTCAACATAAATACGCCCTCAAACTTCGAGCACGTCACCGATCCGGAACTGCGACTGGTTAGAGAGCTTGCCGCGTTAGTTAGCGCGGCCAAGTTCAGCGCCGGGCTTTCCCACTCGCCCCCAGCTTCGGTGCAGCTCAGATCGCGCACTGGCGAGGAGATTAGTGTGCCACGGCACATTTTGCAACGGATCTGTAAGCAACCCGGTACAGCAGCCGTCACTGCTATTGCCGAGAGTCAGGATAAGCGCTTTTATCGCATACTGCAGATGCCGGGACCGAAGGCCGGAGGTGCGGCTAATGGTAATGGCGCCTCAGGTGCTGCTACTTCCCCAGGTGCACCGGTAATTGGGCAACGTTCAGCAAATGCTGCTGAGGGTGCCTCGCCGGCAGCTGGTGGGGGCACAGCCTTTGCAGTGCCAGCCGCCAGGATCACAACTGTCTCCAAGGCTCAGGACACGAACGTCGTTGGCAACGTCACTGGCAGTCCACTTTCAGCGCTTTTCGGAAATAATCCGAATGCGAATGCCATCAACAAAAATTCCACCACACCCACTGGTACACCCATCGCTGGTGGTAGTGCTGCTACGTCAGCCAATACTATACGCCAGATGAATCGTCGCTACTCTATTTGTGGCACCGGTGGTCCGGTGCATGCCAGGGTGCTCCACAAGCCAAGTCCCGGCATTTTGAACGAATTCGACAACGCCAGCTTGCTGAAGCGTCGCATGATGTCGCCCGGACAGGCTGCAGTGCCGCAGCAGCGTCCACGCTACTCGAATACTGCGTCCGCAAATCCGACAAATGGTGTGGCGGGCCAAAATCCGCTCGTTCGAGCCAACAGCAAACAATCAATTGGCACCAACAACAGGCAGCCATCGCCCTCAAGCATTAAAACTCCACAAATAGCCAGTGTGGCCAGCGGTGAACAAGTCTTTACGAAGCCGCAGGCTCGTACCATTGAAATCTCACCACAAAAGCGCCCCAACCTGGTGGTGGCCAATCCCAAAGGTGGAACCACCGTTACCGCACGTCCCAACAACTCGAAGAGCCTCGCCAGTCGTGCCCAAACTTTGAATCAGCTGCTGGGCGAGATTCGCAAGACGGTGCCCCAGAAAACATCGAATACTATGTCGGGAGTGTGTGGCAAGCAACAGGAAACAGCGGCCACCATTGCCGCCGATAATTTCTCGCTGGCCTCCTTGAAACGTGAGCCCCAGGATATCGATGACAACGATGATATTTTGGGCATGTAAGAGCCGAGGTGTTAACCAAAGCATCAACCATTATTTACATTCGCTTAAGAGAGAACAAAAACCAACCCATTGCTTTTATAAATAATTATCTGATTTATTAATGTTTTCATACTTTTTTCGACTTTTTATTCATACAGACACATACACATATAATTATAATTAAGATATTTCGCGGAAAAATGTTATACTTCTTGGAAATGTATTATCCTTTTTTTTACACATTATTCATTTACATTTTTCATTATTGAAATAAAATTGAAACTTTGATTTGTTAAGCTTAAGGCCACAGAAGTAAAAGTTGTCTTTAATCACTGGAGAAAGGAAATCGAACCCAATGCTCCTGTGTATGGTAAAGTATGAGCAGTAATTGAAAGAAATGGTAAAGTATTGCATCCATCTTTCCATAATTTCACAATCGATTATGGGAAAAGTGATTTTCAAAGAGAATTTCACTGAAGACTCCTTCTCTTGTGAGTACAAGTATATACGAAATAAAACGAAGCGGTGAAAAAGAAAACACCATCACTAATAAAATCATAAGAAATTTTTGAAGGCTAAGAGCAGAGAAGGAAACTGTTGATAAATAGTTTAAATATTAAACATCCTCTTAAATGTGTTTACATTAAAAGCATTGTGGTTCTGACAGACAGTGCTTGGCTAAGATAGAGAAATTTGAAATGAAGTATAGGAAAAGAAAAATTGTGTATACAAGTATGCTTAAATACAGATGACTAAGTTAAATTGATAGCATACTATATATTACGTCATAGCTGATTTAGCTGCAAAGTACAAATTTCTGTGCGAATCAACCAGTCATTGCGAAGTTTAGGGAGAGTGTCTGTTCATTGCAAATAACTATAGATAGCTAACCATACATATACTGGATAGGAGAACTGCTTGCTATCTGCTCATAAATCTATCAGTGGGAACCCTTCTTCAATCTTATCGCGAGCTCTTGAAAAGAAAACTGTAAATTACGCGAATTGAGCGATAAGGAAATGCCGAAGCTATATAAAGCCCCACAATGCTAGGCCAGCAGTTTAGTTTTGAAAGAGCTACCCGCAAAAATGAAATACCTGGCAGTTTGTGCGCTTCTGATGCCGCTTGTCTTCGGCGCTTCAGTCCCCCGGCCCCCAAATGTGGACATTGACCTTATTCCCGACATTTCCACTGCTGCGGATGCAGAGTCTGTGGAATTGCATCTGCGCCAGCTGCCCAAGATAGCCGACATGCTCAGCCATATTCACCGCATTGCGAGTGGCTTGCCCGATATGTCGGTGGCCAGCGATGCCGATGACGCCACTGCCGACGATATGGATCTTATTCCCGACATTTCCGTAGCCGCTGATGGTGAGATTGAAGAACCACCTTCGCATCCCATGCAATTTGTTAAGCAGCTAGTTTCTCTAGGCGATGTCCCCGACATGTCCGTAGCTGCCGATGCTAAGGATTCCGATTCCGCCGATGCTGATTTGGTGCCCGACATTTCCGTTGCCAGTGATGCCGATGAGGTCGCTGCTGATGATGCCGATTTGATTCCCGATATGTCCAATGCTGCCGATGCCTTGGACTCTGAACAAGGTATGTGAAAAACATTTTGTTTATAGACTGAGGTAACTTTATAGATATACTTGTATGTGTATAAGATGATGCCGATTTGATTCCCGACAACGCTGAGGCTTCCTACCAGGAATAAAAGCGCAATATGGACTGAACGATGAGATAATTAATAATATATAGCTATGTATGTACCGTCTATCGTATTTATTGTATTTTTAGACTATCTTTGTGTGCAGCTTTAATAAAATTTGATAAGAGCAGAAAAAATTAAAACAAAACGAATATTTACAATCAGACAAACAATCAGCCACTGAAGTGTTGATAAGGCCTAAGTACTGATTATAATGAAAATTAATTTATATACAATTTCCGAATTGTCTGAAGCATACGATTAGTTTGCTGACGATCTAGAGGGGCCATAAACACGCCAAGATGATAAAATGCCAAGTCGTCCAAAAAATAAATTATCTTTGTTTTTAAAATTCAAATTCAGCGCCGCATGCCGTTGGCTATCGATAACAACTTTACATTCTACGCTGCAGAGCACTCGAGATTCGAGAATGATTTACGAATTGAGTGCACCTTTTGGGAGTAGTGAATGTTTTATTATTATTATTTATTAATGGATTCCCGAGTCTTATTCAATATCTGAAATAGATCGACTCCGACTTGATAGGCTAATCAAATGGTAAGTCTTTACAGAGCCACCTGTTCGAAGTTTTTAAAATATCACAGACTTTATTTTCTATATGCACACCCAAACAATTATTACAGCTATCTATATGTTACAAAAACATACATGCATAACACTTACAAAAATTGGCCAGCCTAATCATATTTTTTGCATGTAAGGAAATTTATTCCATGAAATATGACGATTTTGGTAAACTCTGGAATATACATTTCAAGCACAAAATCAATAAATTGGCGACTTGTTGAAAATTTCGAATTATGAAACAATTTCCTTATAACAATCATAAAAGCTTTCGTTTTAATACAAATACATGTCAAGGTATGTATTTATATTTCCGCTTTCTTACCCCAAGCCTAAGTCAAGTCAATTTTAAATTAATCTTATTGCAAATTGGGTTTGCTAATAAAGCGTGATATATATTTGAAATGAGTTTAAAGTTTTTGCTAATTTTGCATCCATTTTGAATAAATCATTAAATAACAACAGTCGTTGGGGAAGAATAACATATATATAACATATATAAATATGTATACTACAAGTATATTTGATTCCCATTTGATTAGTTTTTTGGAAGTACACAGTGACAAAGTGTCGTAAAAGGGTTTTCCAATATTAATACATATTAATATAAGTAAATACAGTTACCAAAATAGGAACTATAAACAATTTTGTTAAATTTTTCGTAGAATGTAAAATTAATGACTAAAGCTATGGCGAGACATGCAAATAGTTTGTGGACTAAATTGATTAATTACACATGTTTGTTGTCTCAGAAAATTAAATATATTGGTTTTAATTGAAGAAAATCATATTAATGACATACAGATTTCTGGAGAAATAAAACAAATTTCCATGGAAATTATGGCCGCAGCTTAAGTGGAGTTGTTACTCGGATTGAATTGAAGTTTAAGGTGAAGGATGGACAGAGAGACTGTTCTTAATGCTTTAATCAGTTGATATTGAAAATTGGCTGGCAATAGTAACTAAATTGAAACCAAGGCCCTCTATTTTAGTAAGAAAGGAATGGTAAGTCCGTAATACAGCCATTGTTTTTACTCTTGTTAGATTATATTCCAAAGTTGTTTTTATTTTTGCACGCAACTTAATGCTCTCGATAGTTAATCTTTTTGGCCAAAAACATTAGCTCCCTCATGATCACATTGCTCACACGTTGACCCTTCGGCTTTTCCACAACTCGTCCAAGGTCCCGTGGGCGTTTGAAGTACCCTTCTTGATGCTCTATCTCGGCCAGTCGCTGAGCGTTTGGTGCTCGTGTGGGCGCGGACGGAAACATAAAGTGCTGGTCACCTATGACCCGAGCCCAAGTTTATGTTGGTCCCCCAATGGCAATTTCATTTCGAGCCGACAGAAATTGTCGCCGTTTGTATTCGGCTGCCGAGTCCAGCCTTGATTTTCCTCAAGTGACTTTTCATGACCAAAAAACTGATTAGTTTCATGACCGGCCCCGCGCTCATTTAGGTTCGCCCAACAATTACCAGTCCCTCACATGAACACATACACGCTGGGTCGTTTTGGTAAATGAAATACATTTTTTTCTCTTCTTTTGTACCGTTGCTATTTATAAAAAGGAATTACCGGCAAACCGGCTATTACTGTCGAGCCACCGGCACCCGCCGCTCCTCTGCAAAAAAGTGCCAGCAATGAGGCGAATGGCCATAAACAAGAGACGGACAGGCGGACTGGCGGACCAGTGGTTGCCGTTGCCGTTGCCATGGCTTTGGTTGTTGTGATTTTCACACAAAAGCGCTAAAGCGGCTACTAAATTACGTGTTCATGTGTTCTAGTTTAGTCTCTTTGTAACTACTTCCCCTCCACTCCCCTCCCCTCCCCTCCCCTGCCCAGCCCCTCACACAGATGAACACCCGCTATAAGCCGCATATGTGCCCATATGTGCTCTACTCCTATGTGCCCCAAGTGGGCGAGTTTTTGTGTGGCGATGGCAATGGCGATGGCGGGGTGTGCTTCTTGCGGACACGCCACAGCTCGCAGCACAACAAATCGCATTTGGTGCGCTAATGAACCGCAGTGGTGCAGATACAGATACAGATACTGGTCCAGCTCTGGCTATGCCGTGGCTGGGCAGGCACAGCATTTGGTCCACTTTAGTTCGGCCCGGTTCAGCTACCTTTGTCGCATATTTAAACGTTTGGAGAGCATCGCCGCTTAAAAGTGTAACAATGCCGCTAACTACGGCGATCCGGTCTTGTTGGGCCGCTGTCCGATCGGCGTTGGCGGTCAAAACAATTGCCGCTTGATTAAGATGTGCGTGGGGATTGGGTTTCGGGTTTCGAGTGTGGGGTATGGGGAAAGACTACAGCCATTGTTGGGGCTATATGGTCCTTTTTGCTGGCCGCATTTGGCAGCTGCACCTTTGCTTTTATTCACAGTGCCTCTACTCTTAATTATACTTGTAGCCTGTACCCAAAGGGTGAAAGCCTATGCTAGTTTTGTGCGAATGTATGTAACAGAGAAGGAGGCGTGGTAGACCTCACAAAATATATATATTCTTGATCAGCGTGACACTTCACCACTTCACCCCTATGGGCGTTTTTCCGATTTTCCATTCGTATAATAGCCTATATCTGGGAGACTATGCGACCTAGGGACACCAAATTTTAGTCTAAGATGCCTTATGTGAATACGCACAAAATGTGTATTTTGGACTTTCCCTCCCCCCCCCCCCCCCCCCTCTCACTCGCAATCTATAACTCCCTTAATTCTTGGAAATTCATTGAAATTCGAAAAATACCGCCCATTAGTGCTAATGAGTCCGTATGTCGAGTTTCATAATGATAGGCCGATTTAACAGGAAGTTATAGCCATATATGTATATATGACCAAGCAGTGACCGCAGCTGTTGTTGTTGTTACTGCTTTGCACAGGCACACAGATACGCATTATTATACTACACATATGTAGAGAGTATTTCAAGGTCGGGATACCCGACTTTAGCTTCCCTACTTGTTTTTAATTAAATTTATTTGTGGGGTGGTACAGGGTATTTTAGAGTTGAGGCCGCTCGACTTTAGCATTATTTTCTTGTTTTTGCACTAATTTATACTGACGCCAAATTTCTAAGGTTAAAGCGAAAAGTAAAATGTTATAACCAATTGTAAACACCTTTTTCTAATAAAACACCTTGCTTTAAAAGTGAATGAATTAAGCTTTAAAATGGCGGTATTGCTTATTTCAACATATTTAACTCCTTCATTCATACCTGAATTTAAAATTAATACAATTGATCCATTTATTTCTGCAGTAAGTTTATATTTAAGAAATGGTTTGGCTGTTTGCAGCAATTAAAATTAGGTCCTTTAGTCCTTGATTAAGAAAGGTTATGCAAACTAGCAATACTATCTACATAATACAACTCTGAAACATTACGGTGGTTTATTGGTTTGCTTTAAAAAGCTACGAAATATTGAAAGCTTGTCAGACCATGGAGTTGCAATTCGTTTCTATACAAGTTAAAAGTATACATCTTTCAAATGGAAATCAACAAATAAAATTAGTTCCGATTCCATTATGCAAGCTAAGAAGAGTCACCATTATTACTAAATGGATGGGTATTTGCGAAATATTCAAATTTATTGCGTAATATTGTGATGCAGAAAAATTACCCCCATAGTGTTGAAATATTCCATACAAGACACACTTTTAACAAGTAAACATTTTTCGAAAAAGTATACATATTTTTATACACAAATGTAGAAAGTGTAGGAATGAATAAACATTTTTTTTGGTAGACGACGAGCCAGAATATTTTCGATGTAGGCAACAGAACGACTCAATATTTAAATCTAAATAATTTCCATTTTTTAATTCAAAACTCTGCGGTTTCAGGTGAGAACTTATAGTCAATTTAATACTCAGGTAGTGGTTCCGAGCAGACATACAAACAATACTTGTAGGCTTACAGTTAAGCCATACCTGCTGCCAGTCTTGGCAACATATTTTTTTGTCGCCTTTCATAAACTTTCTACGACTCTCGTTCGTTCGCTGTCCTTCAACTTCTGCTTCGACTCTGCAGCTGCCGCCACAGCTGCAATTATCTCTGCCCTCCCTGCCCCTCCGTTATCCATGAGTTTTTGCAGCACTTATTGCAAAACTTTTAACTTCTTTCACTTTTGCATTTTCTTTAATTCGCTTCCACGCCCTTTGCAGGCGATCCTGCGGCTTTCCCGTTCACTCATTCCTTGTTCTCGGCGCTCCGATTGCATCTTGGCTATGCATATCACTTTACTTTTAGTAAAGCGCCTCTTCCCTACCCCCTCCCGCCACTTTCCTCTACCCCTTCCCCTGTTGTCGAAAATTTCATTTCACTTCCTTCGCAAAACTTTGCTTTCTTTTCAACTTCATTTCGCCTTTGAACTTCTGGCACGCGTATTGTACCGCTATGAAAACTTTTTCTCTTCTACCGGACAAGAACATAAAAATCGTATATATGTAGTGTCAATATTTTTGGAATCTCAGCAAAAGTTGCGCCAAAGTAACAGTTTAAATATTTCTTTATTTCGCTTTCGCCTTTCCTTTTCCTTTTGTCCTGGTTTTCTTTTGTGGCTG